TAATTCACCTGCTGTTGGCTGCAGAATAGTTCTTGTTACAGGAAATTCTTTAAATAGCTCTGGTAAAGGTTTCCGCTCACGTCTCGACTAATTAAATCAAGTTCTGCTGAAAATGTAAGCGATTGGATCACATCCATTTTTCAAACGGTTTCCCACATTTAAAACCACCGGAATTCCTTTCTCTGCTGGTAGCTCTGTTCCTGCTGCCTAATTCGAAACAATGGGAAAATCCGAAACATAAATACCGAAGTTGCAACGCAGGCAAACTATCAATTTCAACGGTAAAAATATCTCTTAAAATTAACTTAACCTCTTAGTATTTGAAATACGAAAGAAAAAATTTGGAATGTGGTAGGGTTTTTTTTTCATAACCACCCAGTTACAAAAGGGTATGAACAAAATATAAAAAAGGAACCGGATTTGCGAATTTCTATTCAGACATTTCGACATCTAAGCTGCTCCCTGCTTTGGTCGCCTAGTCCTAATCGACACATCGCTGAGAGAAAAACAAGTCTCTAATGTAAAAGACTCCGGCTATTGCTTAATGAGCCGTTCTGATGACATACGAGCTAAGTGAAACGTATTTAATAACAAGTAGGAAAATTATATTCGGCCGTGACCAATCTTTACTATCGCGCGGCTCATTTTTTCTGCCTTCAAAATAAAAGTTTTTTGGCATAGGCATGTGGGTGTTGTAGGCGAGTCCTTTGAAACCTGTAGGTCACTTACAAATTCTTTCGCAAATTTGTAGGCGATTTCTTCGTTTTTGCTAACGGAAGAATCTTTACCACAGATATAACACATAGTGTGGCAGACGAACAAATGGACATGCTTAGGGCATTCCAAATTTGCAGCTGGCCGAGAAATGGTATATTGAATAGGGTTTGTGAAGCTTGTTACTGCGCGTTATGAAGGTATTGAAAAAAATTAAATTTTGAGACACTATAATATTGGGTTGGCATGGTCAATATATTCCATTTTTGTACAGCATCGCCTTTGTGCATTTGCTATAGTTTATAAGTAATGAGCAAAAAAAGCAATTTTTTATTCCCTTTGAAGAACAGAGATACTCTCACTTTACTTGGTGCTGTGCGCGTGTCCTTCGGTCGATGTGACCTCCTTTCAATACCAACCTGCGTGCAGGAACATCCAATGTTTCTGTGCAACTATGAGGTTGATAGTATCATATTTGGGACCAGTAGAATCTTGACAACAGACATTGCACAGACGCGTGGACAGCCAGTGTGGCAGGCGGCCATGCCTAAATCGATTTGGAATTCGATACTGACCAAAAATATCTACACTTTGTATAGTCTCGGAAGCTTTCTTCTTGGTGATGCAGACTTTTTGACAAAATGAATATATCCTTCATCCTTCGATGATGCATATAAAAAATATCTATCTATCTATCCTTTAGAAGCCGTCAAAGCCGATAAGTTTTAAAGCCGAAAATTGATTAGTGAACTATCTACAACAATGTTAACCAAAAAGAACCGTGCTTAAAGTGACTAAGTGACAAAGTTATTAAAAGGTCACAAAACCTCTGTTAGCATCAGCAGAAAATCTTGCTGGCGGGATTGGTCAAGCAAAAAAAAAGGATTTCCGAAAAAGAGTTACAGCTCTTTGAGAGAACATTGATCCGATCATATGCTATTCACAGCTAGTAAAACTGTAGTGAAAGCTAGATCGAGAGGACAGCATTCCACCAGGATATTAATATACTAAAAATTGCTATCACGACTTCTAAGAAGTAAGGAAGGAATAACCTTGCTAGTGGAATAAGGCAGAAAAAAATCGTTAAAGCAAATGGAAAATATATAGTTTAATAAAATGGTTTTCTTTTTCTTCTCTCTATCATCACAAAGGCGGGCTAGAATATTAAACTATTCACTAGAAACTGACTATAATTCTTTTTTCATTTTGTCATTGTTGTTTTGATTAACTAGGAACTAATAAAATTTGGAATAACATGAAAGTTGCTGTTTTAGATGAAAAACATTGATTTTTTTTCTTTTTTTTTTTGGAGAAAGCTCTTAACAGTTTTTCCTGTACTCTCTTACACTTTTCCTCCCAAAACAAAAAAAAACAAAACCATAAAATCCTGGACTCCATTGTAAGGCAATGTTTATTATGCATAGAAAATGTATACAAATTGTTCGTTTTCTCTTACAGTCTTCTATTCTGATAAATAATTATCAAAAAGAAAAACAATAAAAAAAAAGAAACGGAAAAAAAATGAAAGCATGAAAAAAGTTCACTGGTTTGTAATCGTGCTTCTCTGTTGTTGTTTATCGGAAAACAATAACAGTAAACGTTGCCAATTATACAATGGTATGAAAAACGTAGGCGGTCCTACCAAAATAAACAACAAAGAGTAACGCATCCTTAAGTTTGATATTTGAAAAATTTGCGACGAACATATGTATCCAAGCGTGTATATAAAAGCGCATTAAAAAGAAAGAGAAAATCTCTTTCCTCACATTAAACGTTACAAGGAGCGAGATAACCTCTGTACGCAGTAAGTGTTTTACTTAACAACTACACATATAATTGGATTGTATACAACAGATACAAAACCAAACGCTCGCGCGCAATAATATCCAAATAATAATGCTTACACATTACACACACTATCAATAATGCAATTCTAGCGTGTTTTTTTCCAAAAAAAAACCTATTGCAATGCATAACGAATGTCAAATTACTTGTTATTCTAACATATTGTGAGAATGTCATTCAATACTTAAGTTTTAGCGTAGCGTACCATTTGTCGTCAATCGTTAGCCATATGGTATTGAAAAGATTTGGACAGTTTAGTCGGATTGAAAAAATCTGTTTTCAATTCTCATATATTTCCCGTAGGACGAAATGTCCCTAAGTGGAGTTTGCATATTAAATATAAGATAGATCCGATCATAGCCTGCCCTAAACTAATTCGAATCACTTTTGGTAATTCCAAGATTCATGATGCAGGTTCTATTAGTTTATTTTTGTAGTAGTACTAGAATGATTAGAAAAAGAGATCCCTTCTTCACAACACAGAAGATGTTTATTTTTAAGGTAATTTCTTTAAAAAAAAAAACCTTTCAATTCAAATTTTATTTTTCCATTTTTTTTTTATATTTCGCTGCCCTTCAGTGGATTTTGAATAATGTTTCAAAAATTATTTTATTTTTTCCTTTTTAATATAATAAAGAAAACCATACGGTCAAGAATTCGTTTTAAAAATATTTATTGAAATGTTCTTTTAAATATATCAGTAATGTGTAAAAGCGAAAAAATTGCCAATAATTTTGTGCTGACAAGACAGCATTACTCCGTAAATTATTATGTGTTTAGTTAATGAAGAAAACAAGCTTTCGAAAATATCGCAACGAGAAGTAATAAGCCAACAAAAATGAGCTTTTCTTGATTTTTTCTAGAAGCCTAGAATATTTCTTATTACGGTCCATATCCCTGACAAACCAACTATGGAACCAATGGCAAAGAAATCAGCAAAAGTTTGAAAATAATAGTAGAAAGCAAATATATATATATGCATATATATATATGTGTGCGCGTATCTATCGAAGTCTGCAAAAATCCATAATCAAAATTTTCGTTTTACCAATACGTAAGACTTCAACAGCAACATGCAATATTTATACATAGGTTTAAAGACATAGGTGCTGATATTACTTCTAAATTATATCTTGACTTTGAAAGTTCGGGAACATTTTAAGCACGAACGAAAAAGCTCTACAAAGCTTCCTCCCTTTGTTCTTTAAAGTTTGTTTACTTACTTTAACGTTTTTCTTATCTTTTTTCGGTTGGCAGCACTGTACGTACCTAAATGAACCGTTATAAAATAATATCACAGAATTAAGTTGAGAAGCTTTATGGAGTTTTATGTGAAGCATGGATACCCTCACCAACTTCTTTGTGTTGACTGATTTTTCGTCACATTGTTTATAGATTAGAGGGAATGAATTTTAATCGTAAATATTGCAATTTTTCAATAATTTTTTAATGATGACAAATATTTTTGCTACGTACTCGCAAAATTAATAATTACAAATGGAATAAGACATTCAGAATACCTTAATTATGGTATAAAATATAAACAAACAAACAAAAACACATCAATAAGTTTGTATATTAAATATGACACTATCTATTTCACATGCTCTCTCTCGCCCTCTCTTTTTCTTATACATTTAAGTCTGAAATTGTGGCAGCTGCCATTGTAGGGAGTAATAATAAGAGAGCTGACGAAAGTTGATTGGTTGCTTGAAAACAGCTTGAATGCACGCAAAAACACACAGTCAAGAGCAAAGAAGACGTTACGCATTATGCTAAAAAGTGATAGACTCATGCATTGTTAGTGCTGTGAAATGAAGAGACTTGTGGTATGGACGGTGGAAAATAAAGCAAAATAAAAAAAATCATGGAGTTTACTTAGCAAATAACGTATGATTGACGCCGATAATTTGTTTGTTAGTTAGTCGATGGCTTTTGGAGTAAACGAGGATGATGAGCGAAACGTGCATTCTACTGCGATGCAAAGAAAAAAAACAGACAAAAATTTTTGACTAACAATATAAGCAAAGCCATGTCAAATTGTTGAAAACATTAAAAATAATAATTCAAAGATACTAAAATTAAAAATTAATTCGATTTAAGTGCGGGGAATAATTATTGATATTAAATCAGTAAAATTTCGACATTTGTACGCGTAATCGTAGAGAGAGATCAACAACAAGCTTTGTTGGACTAACGTACAGAATATTTATGAATGATGAATGTGTGATTAACGCAAAGTATGTGAACGCAAATTCTGTGTTATATCTTACAAGCAAATTTCTGCTTAGATTATATATTTATAGAGCAATTTGTGTTCGAAAAATCTTATCGAAGAAATTTACACAACCGATGCGTTCTTCCCCGTGTATATCTATATGTTCTGATTCGTATGTTCGCTTATGTGTAGAAAAAAAGAGTCAAAGAAAAGTCTACGCAAAATGGTTACCAATAACTCAATAGGTAATACAAGTCTGGTCGGCAGTTCAACTATACACACGTCTTACTTAGAACAGCCGTCGGGTTCAAGTTCGGTAATACTTTACGGTAACGGCAATAACAATTCATCATTAACTAATATCAACAGCAGCAATATTTCCAGTAGTAGTAACAATAGTGTAGCGAATGGAAATACTTTGGAACATTATCGCTTACAATTATATAATTATGCCTTGAATATGGAACGTTTAAGAGGCGGTGGACCTCCAACATATACAGCTGCTGCTGCTATGGCCGCGGCAGCGGCATACGCTTCCACAGGCAATCACAACACGAACAGTTTAAATAATAGCGCATATGCCGCAACTCCCCCAAATGTCAATATAATAAACAACGGTGGCCCTGGTAGCAATCGCCTAACTTTGGCTTCGATGACCTTGTTCTCACAACGTATGTTCCAGCCAGAGGAGCCTAAACCGCAGCACAGTTATATCGGTTTAATAGCAATGGCCATCCTGAGTTCCGTTGAGACAAAACTTGTGCTTTCCGATATCTATCAGTATATACTTGATAACTATCCTTACTTTCGAACAAGAGGGCCTGGTTGGAGAAACTCGATACGACATAACTTATCACTAAATGACTGCTTCATAAAATCAGGTCGAAGTGCCAACGGTAAAGGGCATTATTGGGCTATACACCCTGCTAACATTGATGATTTTCGCAAAGGAGATTTTCGTCGGCGTAAAGCTCAGCGTAAAGTGCGTAAACATATGGGTCTAGCAGTTGATGATGCCGGTACCGATTCGCCAAGTCCACCGCCTGCAATGGATTTAACATCTCCCCCGCCGCCATCACATCATAATATTTCCACAATCACACCGTTAGCAACGGCCGCTCAGCAATTGGCAGCGCACGCTTTTGGTTATTTAAATCAACAACGTTTTCCTCACCACAGCGGGACACTCTTGCAACATCACCATCATCACCAACATCAACAAACGCACCCACACCATTATATGGGTCAAATTTTAGTACAGCGACCCATGGCGAATGCTATGCCTCACTATGCCGCTGCTGCGGCAGCAGCTGCTGCTGCCGCTGCCTTTTATAATAACCCAGGGGTCAAGGAACAGCATACGCATTACCAGTCCACAATTAAACCGCAATTGCCGTCACCGAACTCGTTACCGCAAAGTCAAGAGCAACATCCTCCGTCTGATGCCCAACAAATAATTGAAGGACCAAGTAACAATTCTAGCCCGCACAGTCGACCCAAAACTTTTACTTCATCCACTTCAACAGCTCAAGACATAAGTGATATATTTACACAGAGCCGGAAGCGTCAATTTGACGTGGCTTCTTTGCTGGCGCCCGATAACATAATAATACGACCGGAACCACACGTTTCTCCTTTCGCCGCTATTAGTAAAAATCCTCTCCACTCCAATCATCCGCAATCGCATAAGTCACCCTTTCAGCAATGTTATGCAAGCGCGGGAAGTACTCCAACAAATTCAAGGCCTCAAGACATGGCGCTGAAATTTGGTTCGTCTAATCGTATGGACACAATCAACAACAAGGACAACGATGACGATAGCAGCACTCCGACTATAGTCGTTGTTAATGACCAAGAAATGGAAGACATTGACGTTGTCGTTGATACGGACGATGACGATGATGAAAGTCATGAGATCGAGGCAGATGATGACGACTACGGTGACGCCGATGCTGACGCCGACGAGGAAGGCGAGGAAAGATTAGATTCGTTGCGACAAAATGAAAACGATTTGAACTCGAAACTTGGCGATAGGACACCGCCAATTAGTATTTATTCGGACAATGATGAAAAGATTGTTCTCAACGACAATGATGAAGATGATGATTACACAATAAACGCTAACGATATTAATCATAATGACATGGAAAATAAACAGTTACAAGTGACGGCAAATTATGATCCAAAAAGTAAACGGATTTCGCAACATTTCATTGATGCTAACGGAACGGAAATAAATGAAGAAATCGTTGACTGCGTGTATAGGCAGGATACTGCTTTTAATAGAACTACAAATATCAGTCCCCCAGTATTAGCCGCTTACAATAGTATTAATGATTCACAACCGCCGTCACCTGCAGATCAATCTGCAGTTCGAAGTTGCAATGAATTGCCGGAAACCAGTAAAAGTCAAGAGAATTTTAAGCAACAATCATTAGATGCTCACCATATATTAGGCTGTTACTATGGAACCTACATGGCAGCGGCTGCTGCAAGATTGACTTCAACCAGAAATGTTGAATAATTTGAATCAAAGTTTTCTAACCGACTTATTAAGCTCCATTTCGTTGGGCTTTTGTAAATTTTACATATATATTATATACTATCTAAGCTAAATAAAAGAAAAAATAATTCATGATTCATGGATACTCATCACTTACATTCGAATAATTAATAAGCAATATTCTGTTTTATTTCTCCAATTTATTTATTTCTTTTCTTCTGTTAAAAACAAATTCGATAAACAAACAAAAAAGAAGAAAACGAGTAAAATTTCGCATAACAAAATGAAATTTTTGATCGCGGGTGCGGTGGAATTTGCTTCTTGGGGGACATAAAAGAGAGCTGATATGAATGTGCATTCCTACGCAAATGTTTGACAAAAACATTTTCGCCGGCTTTGAAAAACATTGTGATTAGGGACTACAAAAGTGTAAAAGCATATGGGAAGGTAAAAATAAAAAATTGAATAAAATTGAAAGTTAAATTGAAAAAATTTTGAAAACACAATTTCTGTGCAAAATCCTTGTGGCCTACGATTCAATATCAACTGTCGGACTGTTAATATTAGTTTAGTTAATAGTTAAAAAAGACGAGTTAAAATAATTGGAGAATTACTTCTCTATGACGTTTATAGAGCTAATAAAGCGAGATGGGATTTACCTAATTGCAAACGTGTAGGCAGCAAATTGACTAGAAAACGATTCGGTAAAGGTTTCAAATTTTCGTTGCGCAAACGATTAAACAATTCCAGCCGTTCTTTGCTTAGAAACTCAATCAGTTGCGTATCTTTACTGCCGCATGGAGTGGAATTGCTACCGGCGTTATTTGTATGAGCAGAATTACTGGCTTGATTCGATGCCAATTCACCAGACTTACTTCGAGATTTCGGACTAAGCGATGGTAGAAAGAGATCAACAAATGAAGCTATTAAACGTAATAGCAATAAACGTATGCGTAAAATTTCAACCTCTTGTTGAAAAGAATCTTCATGCTCTGCTTCCAAAATGCACAGGATCCCAACGTGTTAAATGCCAAAGGCTTGCTTACCGCTTTGCTGACAATGTTAAAATCGGAGAAGGCATGAATTGGCAGCAAACGTTAATGCCTTTATCAACGATAGTTTCCCAATTGACATGGACGGTATCGTATAATTTTGATTTTGGCGAGTAGCTATATATAAACCGGGCAAAGGTTGCTAAAAGAGACAGTGGTGCTAATAAGGACATTTGGAAAATAAATAAAAATGAAATAAAAAGAAGTAAAATGGAAAATTTAAATAGAAACGAACACAACGAAACTACAGAAATAAGTGCAAATAGCTTTCTGTACTTAGCTTTCTCTATAAAATTTTGTATTGAAAAATTTTTCCATACTCTTTGTTAAAAAAAAGTTTCGGAAATCTTTTGAGATAAGGGTTTGTATATACTTTACAAAGTGGTTATAGAGGTCAGTTGCATTAGTAAGCAACTTTAATCTACGCAGCTACATATCTTCTTTAACACTAAACGCATTTCCAAATTCGTTTGCATTAAATAAATTAATTCCATTCTAAATTTCTTTTATAATAACGGCAGATCACAAAATTATATTGAGCTGTACCCGAATCTTTAATATCCGTCATCTATATTTTAAAATAGAACGTGCGAATATCTATTGCAGCTTATATGGGATTTAAACAGAGATATTCACACTCTGGTCTACTCTTTGTCTGGTGGACATGGCCTTTGACCGATTTGGCCCATTTTCAGCACCAAACTGCATGTAGCAGTTTTCAGTGTTTCTGCCAAATTTGAAGCAGTGCAGGACAGATAAATATGGCAAGAAATCTGATGCTGATCAATAATACGTGCACATTTTATAGGTTCTCCGAAGTTTCTTTCAGCATATTGCAAGTATTTAGGTAAAAGAACCAAATTTCGGTGCTGTACAGCATTTACTCCTGATCATTACTTTCAATTTGTGTGCAAGTGTTGCAGGATCAGTTATCAAGTATGAAAGTTTTTGTCGTTGTATGAATATATGGAAAGAATTAACATCAAACTAATTGCTCTCCCCCTTGAGGTTGTCGTTGATGTTTAAACCAAAGGAAATAATATAACGAAAAAAAAATGAATAAAATGACAAACTATGGAATTTATCGCAACTTGCGAAAATTCCTTAAATCACTTTTTGACAGCGTTTGTTCCTCTGTTTACCTTAATTTGTGGCTTGTCAGTTCACATCAAAACAAGGAAAAAAACGAAACGAGAAAAAATTGACAGCAAATTTTGAATAAACTTTCGATCTCTTAATATTGAGTTCGTCAGTCAAATAGAAGGTTGCACAAGGTTTAATTGATACCGTTACTCATGCTTATGGAAAACATTTACGCATTATATAATATTTGTCGAATAATGATTGCTGAGCGTCTTAAACATTCGACATTCAAAAAAAATACAAACCTCCATAGCTTGCAATATATTGTGATAAGTTAAAAGTTGTAATGATGATCTTAATGATGAATTTAATGTGAACGTTTACTGAAGCAGCGATCTTTTTTTAGACAAGTTGATGATTTTCAAGAGTTTCAGTTTTTATCAGGGCGACCAAAGCCTTTTACAAATATAAAATGGAATTTTTATTAAGATCTACATAAAAGTTATCCTATAAAGTAGTTAGCCTATAAAGACCTCCTACTCGCTAAAGTCGCTCCACAAGGGCCAAAGCAAAATTTTAGGATGTTTTCTTTAACGTTCTCTTTATGCAATTATTATATTATTTTTTTTTATGATTCGCATGAACATCTAAAAATCGTTAAATGAGAGATATTTTCATCAATTAACGCGAAGTTCATGCAAAATGCTATACGAGTGACTTGGCTTTCTGACAATGGCTTTCTGACAATATCTTCCGTCCCGGGAAATTAAGATTCGAAATTGTTGTCTTAATGGAGGCATATGAGAGAATTATCTTTTTGCGATTCCTGTCGCTTTAACTTTTCAATTCCAAAAGAAATTCATTTTTTCTCATCCGAACCTCTTACCTGTTCCTTACTTTTAAGAAGAGGTATTAAAAATCTTTAAAAAAAGCGGACAGTGACATTCGTTCTTACTGACTTCTGGATCAGGTTGCACGTGCAACTTTTCTAATTATTAGTTCCCATTTTTTCTTTTTAGGAACTTTTTACATAAAGTATTTTTTGATTTTTAACATAACGCTAATATTGAATCATTTCTAGTTTTAAATTTTTTACGTCCATCATTGCGAAGAGCACTCTTCTTGTCAAAACATTTGCGACACGTAAAAGAAACTGTAGACACTTTATAAAGCGTATATATTCTTGATGAATATCAAATTTTGAATCGTCTCCATAAATGTCTATGGTGAAAACTCTCACCCCTATAACAATAAAATCTCGGCTCCGGTTTTTTCGTATTAAAAATGGGAAAATCGGTAAACTTAACGCAGGAATAACTCCTTTAAAAGAAATAAAAAATTACATGCTTACGAAAATGCAAGAAAGCAGCCGCACTCATCCATTATTATAGGGCATCCGAATTTTCTTCTTAGGATAAAGGTAGTGAATATAAAAAACTTGGCTTAATGTAAGCAAAATCGAGCAGCAGGAGTTTCCCCCGCCGCACCTGACGCTTCCACGTTTAAATCAAGCTTACAGAAACGCTATTTTCTTCATCCATTTTTCTCTCCCCTCAAACTTTCCTGACATCCCCTAAGGAGCGACTGGTTATATACGAAAAAGAAAAAATCTTGAAATCTATAACAAACTTCTCGCTTAATAAATCCCACATCCTATTTTGTGTCACAAGACGCAAATTTTATACTAAAGAAATAATTTAGTTGCTATTACTGTCTTCTTCCATTAATTGAGAAATTATGTACATAATTTGCATTCGCAAAACCTTTCGTTTTAATTCAGCATTGTGCGCAACAAAAGGAAAATATGGGAAACAAATTGTAAGAGGTAGGTATAATGTTGTAACGAATGTTGCAAAACGTATGGAATGAATGATGTGAAACTTAAATGTTATCTTTAACTAAAGTTATGAATCCAAAAAAATGTTTACACATTAAATGTGTTTGTAGCTTTCGTAGCCAAAATTACAAGAGATCCACTATTTGAGTTTCTTTACAAATTGTAATAAAAAACAAATATATTTCTTCCTTTATCTATGATTTGATATTATCTATGATTTGACGTACGCTAAAAGCTACTTTTGATAACTATAATTTAATTTAATAATTTTATTTAAAAAATTGATTTAATAATTTTGGCTTTGGTTTTGGTTTGATTAATTGTATTGGATTGCTTATTGGATCGCTTACAAAATGCTTTTCCATTTCACATAAAGACATTAGCTTCTATAAACCGCTATTAACCAGACTTGCATAAATTAAGATTAAAATTCCATATAGAACTGACTATAACCACACTTGCCTGAATTGTGATCAAAATACCATCTACAAATGACTACTAACCACACCAATACCTTCTACAAATGACTACAACCACACTTGCACGAATTACCAAGTGCTTCTGTTTTCACTTAGAAGTGAGTTACCAGACTAATAAACTTTGTGCTTTGCAAAGTGTTGTACACACACCGAACAAAAACTTCGCTTGCTTATCAAGCTTTGACATTTACGTTGAATACATTGAAAGCATTGAAAATGCGTACATACGAATATTACTCGTTGAACTTTCTAACATCATATTGGTTTTTAAGCAAAACAAAGAGAAATTAAAATAGTAAATAAGATAATTAAAAACCACAATTTAATTTAAATTGCTCCGTGAAAAATGTTATTATAATGATTTTATGTGCTGTAGTTTTCCAATCAACTGAAATAAACATCGCTCTCCTTGGCTTGATTATCTTAAAAAATAAGAAGAAGAATGCATGGCGCATTTATAAAGTTAAAGAAGAAATCAAAAATTTACAAATAATTCCATCATTTGTAATTTAGTCGGATCTCGTGGTAAAATATATCAATAAATTATAGAAAACAAGCAAACGCAAGCGTAGTGAAATAAATAGAAAATCTCGTGGTGCCAAATAGTTATTTAAATAGAAGAACAAAGGAAGCAAACAACAATGGAAGGTCAAGAGCAATCACACACGCAAACTCAAACGCAATCAATCGTATGGAGTCAGAGTCAGATTGAAAGTCAGCCAATAGCCATAGCCATTGTTTGGGGTCGACTTTATGGCAAGAATGTTAAAATAAAATCTTTGGGTATGAGAAAGACGCGTTCTAAAATCATTTATGTAAACACGCCCTTTTCTGTTGGTAACAAATTATTGTCTTTCTCGTCTTTGTGTCTATTCTCAATGAAGCAAACGATCAAAAATATTCTGATTCTTCTTTATTTATTACATTCTAGATTTAAATATCGAAAGCTTTGCTGTCGGAAGAGGAGAAACCAATGATCTTATTCTAACAACTAGCGAATTATCTGAAAAGTTTTTAAACCGTATTTCTAAGGAGCATTTTGTAATTAAAAGAATGGGATGTAACCTTTCTCATCCCGTTTACATAAAGGTAAAAAGTTCCACTGATAGTCCATGCAATGGTTTAAAAATTTATTTTATAGGATCTCTCGCGTAATGGTACATTTGTAAATGGTGAAAAAATCGGTATAAATAAACAACGTATTTTACAAAATAATGATATCATTTCATTATCACATCCTACTTATAAAGCATTTGTTTTTGCGGATCTTGGCCCTAAGGACCATTTGAATTTTCCTAAAGAAGTAACTTCGAATTATTACATTGACTGTAAATTGGGATCCGGTTCTTTTGGCTTTATACATTTAGTTTATAATCGTCGCACTTGTGAGATGTTTGCCATGAAAATTGTGAAAAAAAATCCATTGACGACTATCAATAATGAATTCACGAATTTGAATGATCCCAAGCGTGTATTAAACGAAGCAAAAATTATGAAAAAACTACGGCATGTAAGTAGTTTTCGTTTTTACCTTAGGATAGAAACTGGATCTTGGATATGCCAGCACAAATTGTTAATTGTTTGTGGTGCAGAAAAGAGGCAATGCCCCGCTTAAAAGAAAGTAGCTGAAATTCTTTTTCTCTACTTTTATTCTCCATCCATTACTGGATGTGAGCGATCAAATATTTCTTTTTTTTTACTTATCACGATATTATTATTAACGTAGGCCCAAAAATCTTTTCGGCTCTTTGCTGTGGGTATGACTTACCTTTGGTTCTCGGCTCTATGTAGGAGTTCACATTTTTCTTCGCCCACTCTACACTGCACTTGAGATTTGAACCCACGACCATTACATTAAGTGAGGTTAAATTAAGGGAAAAGAACTGGAAAGTATTCAAAGTTGCATTAACCTGTGAGCGGTCTAGGCCGGTCTAGAGTTGTTTGACCACTTTGTAGGCGATATCTTAGTTTTTACGAACGCAAGCATGTTTACCATCCACTTTACACAGGGAAGCAGATGGGCGGACGTGCTTAAATCGATTTAAAATTTGATGTTCATCATACATATCAACATATATGCTTTCTGGGATCTCGGAAGTTTCCTCTGCTCTCAAAGCACTGCATAGGCCTTAACAAACGTGGCTAGATTTCCTAAATGAGTTATGCGGAATTCTATCGTTTCATTGTACTGTAAGTAAACATGATGGGTCAAGTGTCACTTTTCTATATCAAACTGAGAGGGAACTTTTCTATATCAAACAGATGTCCAGATGGCATGAGATTAAATCGACTTAGCGAAATTGCGATAATAACATCGTATGTAAAAACAAAAATTTTGATTAAAAGCAACTGCATAACATCTGGACGATCAAATAGTTATCTCTAACAATGCACGGGTACAGGTAATGTTCATTTTATTAACTGAAATGAATACCGGTTAATAATGAAAACAAACAACATAACTGTATGTTTACTTACTCCAATGCGTGCGTTTCACATGCATTTACACACTTTACAAATACAAGTAATTCTAATATCTATGAACATATGTGCCTGTGTATGCGTATGATATTTGTGTTCAAAAAAAGAGGAAAAAAAAGACAAAAAACTGGTTTTCTATTTTTAGATGCCGTTTTCTTTAACAAAAAGTGTTTTTTAACATTTGTTTTGACACCGGTGGATATATTGCATGCACACTTGTGCACTTATGCGCAATCGATAGTCTAAAAAATATTGGCCCATCAGATATTCAGTATTCAGTACATTGACCAAACAAAAGCCCATCCCATGAGTAAAACAAACTAAGAAAACCGTGAATTGCGGGAAGGACTCTAAGAGCAAAAAGATATTGAAGAAGAACTAGTTTCTCGCCAATTGTATGCGAAATGCAATGCTCAATTTCGATGATATTTAAAATTTTTCAATTTTTGAATATTGAAAAGTAAACAAATAAAGTCAACTATTTTTTGGTCGTACAATAAATTTTTGTGGTCGTATAATAAACTTTTTTGGTCGTATAATAAATTTTTTGGTCGTACAATAAATTTTTTGGTCGTACAATAAATTTTTCTGGTCGTATAATAATTTTTTTGGTCGTACAATACATTTTTTGGTCGTACAATAAATTTTCTGGTCGTACAATAAATTTTTTGGTCGTACAATAAATTTTTGTGGTAGAATAGCAGAATAATAGGGAAATGCAATAAAAGAACAATGGAATAAGCAAAATTTCTAGAATAAAATGACATCGGTAAAATAAAGAAGTAGAATCATAGAATAAGAGAGGAATAGAATAATATCCAATAATAGAATAAAAAATAAAGTAAAAAGATAATAGAATAATGAAATAAGAGAATAATAAATCAACAAAACAATATATTATGATATAAGGGAACAATAAATACAATAAATTAATAAAATAATAGGGTAATAGAATAACTGAGAAATGGAAGAAAATAATAAGATAATAATAGAATAAGAAAAAATAGTAGGATAAAATAATGTTGGAATAATAAACCGCACGAAGTAATAAAATGACAGAATAGAATAAGAAAAGAGGTAGACAAATAAAATGAAAGAATAATAGAATAATAAAATAACAAAATAAAGGAGTAGAAGAATAACAGCGTTTACAGAACAACGATTTAACAGGACATTTAAATAATATAATAATAGTATATAGTAATACAGCAGCAAAAAGATCGAATTATAGAGTTGTACCGACCGATTGAATAATAGAGTAATAATATTGTAAAATAAAATATGAGTAAAATATAAAATAAAAATATTAAAAAAAGAGAAAAATGTTAAAACAAACAAGTAATAGAATGTAGCGCCATATGTACAACTTTTTAATCGTAATACTCTAGAACAAGACAAAAGGACTAAGAAGAGCCAAAGTCGTCTCTCGTTTTGGCCTCACAGGTTATTGGTTATTGGTCGAGATCCTTGGCTTCCTCGGCCACTCCAGCCACTCCCAATTACTTATTTACTTAGGGTTCTTCGCTTTGTTTAGAAATGAGCTATCACCTACAACTATTATGATTCTTTGACTTCAGCTGGCGTAAATACTAAAATTCAAATGGACCTCAATATAATTTCAATTTTCTTTTTCTTTTTTAATTTATGTCTTTTGTATAAAGCCTTGTGTTGTAAATTTGTATGATATATACGATAAGCCCGACTCGATGTACATGATTTTAGAATATATGAAAGGCGGAGATTTACTCAACCGTGTTGTGAATAACAAGCGTCTTTCTGAGAAGATCTCGAAACTATATTTTTACCAAATCTGCCACGCCGTTAAATACATGCATGATAAAGGTAATCTAAAGATATTACATAATACAATACATGTAATGATAAACTATATCAAAAGGGATTACGCACCGTGATCTAAAACCAGATAATATCTTGCTTGCGACTTGTGACGAAGACACCTTAGTAAAGGTTTCCGATTTTGGTTTAAGTAAATTTGCACAAAATGATTCAGTTATGAATACTGTATGTGGAACGGTGGTGTATGTAGCGCCGGAGGTATTAGTCAGTGAAAGCCGCGGAGCCTATACTAAAAAAGTTGATATCTGGAGCCTAGGCGTGGTACTGTTCACTTGGTAAGTTTCAGGAATAAAGCAAAACATTTCCGATTTTAGTAAATGTATCGTTTTTTCTCCTTTAATTAGTTTGAGTGGAATGTTACCATTCTCCGATGACTATGGTACACCAGTTAGAGAACAAATTAAAAGAGGAAAATTTCGCTTTATTGGCTCCTCTTGGACAACAGTATCAAAAGACGCTATGTCCTTAATTAAAAAACTCCTGGTGGTTGATGCTTTACGTAGACCTTCGATTGAAGAAATCATTCAAGATAATTGGCTTAAAGATTCGCAAATGCTGTGCACTGCGGATAGATTAATGAAAACGGACAGCCCGGAAATTGAGAATGAAGAGAATTTTATCGAACCACCGGCCAAACGTTTCAAACTATAAAAGTTTAGACATAATTCCCCACAAGAGCTTTTAAAACTTAATTTAGACTAATTCCGTAATCAGTACTTGGTTTAATTTTAGCAGTTAAAATGCGTTTGACGAAATGATCGATCAACTTGGACTTGTATTGTTTTGTAGACGTTCCTTAAACCTAACGTTCAAGTTTCAGATTTTCTATCAAACTGTCATATGTTTGAAGTAAAGTGCTTTATTTTCGTAAAATCTGTTAAGGAAGTTATTTTTTAGATATGAATATTTGAATGTTTTTTTTTGTTTTTCCTCAATAAAATATAAAACTGTATGTACGTCTCACGTCCCTGAGGAACTCTTCAAGCTTTCGTTTTAATGGCTGAATGTGCAGATTTTTGAATATTTCACCATCAGGGGCGAACGGTATGAATTCGTCTTCTTCATTGGTCGGCGCTTCAAGGTCGTACCGCAGTTCATCGATGAGCAGGTAGTCGTTCTTCTCTTCGACTGCTTCTGACCAACACTCCTCCTGTACGTTCCGTAGTCTGTTGGTCAGCGCCGTTATTTCTACGGACGATCGGCATCTCCTGCTGGTATTGTCGGCTGCCATGTTGTTGAAAAATCTTTCCAACAGATCTTGGCTTACCCTGCATGGCGCGATTGTTATATAATCTTATATATATAAATGTATAAAAAAAGAGCATTTATTTCCCCTTGAACGTCTCCTGACTAGTTTTATTCAATTTTTAGAGACCTGGCGTTCGATTTTCGCATATTTTTGAACATTTTGTGTTAATTCTTCGCATCATATTCAAAGGTAAAAATATCTCTTAAAATTAACTTAACCTCTTAGTATTTGAAATACGAAAGAAAAAATTTGGAATTTGTTAGGGTTTTTTTTCCATAACCACCCAGTTACAAAAGGGTATGAACAAAATATAATAAAGGAACCGTATTTGCGAATTTCTACTCAGACATTTCGACATCTAAGCTGCTCCCTGCTTTGGTCGCCTAGCCCTAATCGACACATCGCTGAGAGAAAAACAAGTCTCTAATGTAAAAGACTCCGGCTATTGCTTAATGAGCCGTTCTGATGACATACGAGCTAAGTGAAACGTATTTAATAACAAGTAGGAAAATTATATTCGGCCGTGACCAATCTTTACTATCGCGCGGCTCATTTTTTCTGCCTTCAAAATAAAAGTTTTTTGGCATAGGCATGTGGGTGTTGTAGGCGAGTCCTTTGAAACCTGTAGGTCACTTACAAATTCTTTCGCAAATTTGTAGGCGATTTCTTCGTTTTTGCTAACGGAAGAATCTTTACCACAGATATAACACATAGTGTGGCAGACGAACAAATGGACATGCTTAGGGCATTCCAAATTTGCAGCTGGCCGAGAAATGGTATATTGAATAGGGTTTGTGAAGCTTGTTACTGCGCGTTATGAAGGTATTGAAAAAAATTAAATTTTGAGACACTATAATATTGGGTTGGCATGGTCAATATATTCCATTTTTGTACAGCATCGCCTTTGCGCATTTGCTATAGTTTATAAGTAATGAGCAAAAAAAGCAATTTTTTATTCCCTTTGAAGAACAGAGATACTCTCAGTTTACTTGGTGCTGTGCGCGTGTCCTTCGGTCGATGTGACCTCCTTTCAATACCAACCTGCGTGCAGGAACATCCAATGTTTCTGTGCAACTATGAGGTTGATAGTATCATATTTGGGACCAGTACAATCTTGAAAACAGACATTGCACAGACGCGTGGACAGCCAGAGTGGCAGGCGGCCATGCCTAAATCGATTTGGAATTCGATACTGACCAAAAATATCTACACTTTGTATAGTCTCGGAAGCTTTCTTCTTGGTGATGCAGACTTTTTGACAAAATGAATATATCCTTCATCCTTCGATGATGCATATAAAAAATATCTATCTATCTATCCTTTAGAAGCCGTCAAAGCCGATAAGTTTTAAAGCCGAAAATTGATTAGTGAACTATCTACAACAATGTTAACCAAAAAGAACCGTGCTTAAAGTGACTAAGTGACAAAGTTATTAAAAGGTCACAAAACCTCTGTTAGCATCAGCAGAAAATCTTGCTGGCGGGATTGGTCAAGCAAAAAAAAAGGATTTCCGAAAAAGAGTTACAGCTCTTTGAGAGAACATTGATCCGATCATATGCTATTCACAGCTAGTAAAACTGTAGTGAAAGCTAGATCGAGAGGACAGCATTCCACCAGGATATTAATATACTAAAAATTGCTATCACGACTTCTAAGAAGTAAGGAAGGAATAACCTTGCTAGTGGAATAAGGCAGAAAAAAATCGTTAAAGCAGATGGAAAATATATAGAAACTGACTATAATTCTTTTTTCATTTTGTCATTGTTGTTTTGATTAACTAGGAACTAATAAAATTTGGAATAACATGAAAGTTGCTGTTTTAGATGAAAAACATTGATTTTTTTTTCTTTTTTTTTGGAGAAAGCTCTTAACAGTTTTTCCTGTACTCTCTTACACTTTTCCTCCCAAAACAAAAAAAAAACAAAACCATAAAATCCTGGACTCCATTGTAAGGCAATGTTTATTATGCATAGAAAATGTATACAAATTGTTCGTTTTCTCTTACAGTCTTCTATTCTGATAAATAATTATCAAAAAGAAAAACAAAAAAAAAAAAAAGAAACGGAAAAAAAACGAAAGCATGAAAAAAGTTCACTGGTTTGTAATCGTGCTTCTCTGTTGTTGTTTATCGGAAAACAATAACAGTAAACGTTGCCAATTATACAATGGTATGAAAAACGTAGGCGGTCCTACCAAAATAAACAACAAAGAGTAACGCATTCTTAAGTTTGATATTTGAAAAATTTGCGACGAACATATGTATCCAAGCGTGTATATAAAAGCGCATTAAAAAGAAAGAGAAAATCTCTTTCCTCACATTAAACGTTACAAGGAGCGAGATAACCTCTGTACGCAGTAAGTGTTTTACTTAACAACTACACATATAATTGGATTGTATACAACAGATACAAAACCAAACGCTCGCGCGCAATAGTATCCAAATAATAATGCTTACACATTACACACACTATCAATAATGCAATTCTAGCGTGTTTTTTTCCAAAAAAAAACCTATTGCAATGCATAACGAATGTCAAATTACTTGTTATTCTAACATATTGTGAGAATGTCATTCAATACTTAAGTTTTAGCGTAGCGTACCATTTGTCGTCAATCGTTAGCCATATGGTATTGAAAAGATTTGGACAGTTTAGTCGGATTGAAAAAATCTGTTTTCAATTCTCATATATTTCCCGTAGGACGAAATGTCCCTAAGTGGAGTTTGCATATTAAATATAAGATAGATCCGATCATAGCCTGCCCTAAACTAATTCGAATCACTTTTGGTAATTCCAAGATTCATGATGCAGGTTCTATTAGTTTATTTTTGTAGTAGTACTAGAATGATTAGAAAAAGAGATCCCTTCTTCACAACACAGAAGATGTTTATTTTTAAGGTAATTTCTTTAAAAAAAAAAACCTTTCAATTCAAATTTTATTTTTCCATTTTTTTTTTATATTTCGCTGCCCTTCAGTGGATTTTGAATAATGTTTCAAAAATTATTTTATTTTTTCCTTTTTAATATAATAAAGAAAAATGCGATCTGCAAAACCATACGGTCAAGAATTCGTTTTAAAAATATTTATTGAAATGTTCTTTTAAATATATCAGTAATGTGTAAAAGAGAAAAAATTGCCAATAATTTTGTGCTGACAAGACAGCATTACTCCGTAAATTATTATGTGTTTAGTTAATGAAGAAAACAAGCTTTCGAAAATATCGCAACGAGAAGTAATAAGCCAACAAAAATGAGCTTTTCTTGATTTTTTCTACAAGCTTAGAATATTTCTTATTACGGTCCATATCCGTGACAAACCAACTATGGAACCAATGGCAAAGAAATCAGCAAAAGTTTGAAAATAATAGTAAAAAGCAAATATATATATATATATATACATATATATATATACATATATTATATTATATTATATATATTATTTGCTGAGGCTGCTCATAGGCATGTGTGTGTGGTATGGGCGTTCATGTTTTATCGTTATTTATCGTTATTTGCTGAATTGTTGTTCATTTAAAACGATTACATATTTTTTTAAACTCATTTTAATAAAACCGCTAAAGGACTTTATGAACAGTCGTTTTCTTCAATCTTCAAGGTGGATAATTATCCGCTATCTTACTAAACTATTTAAATTAATTTGAATTTTTCTCGATAGGAAAGCGAACGCATAAGAATCAATTTAAAAATATAATTTTCCAAGTACAATAACGCATGCAGCGCATTAAATTAGCTATTTTGTCTTAGTCGATAAAGATTTAATATTTTTGTCCGCTTTTTGAGGTTTTTTTTGATTTGTAAAAGAAGAGTGGAAATTGAGAGAGATTGAGAAAACCTGTTGGTCTGTTTACAATGGATAAAAATTGAGAGCCAAAAAATTTGCAGAGATATCGCTTTGGTTTACTTTTTCATTGCATTCTTTAGCCACGGCTTCGTGCACATCGAAGGTGGCTGCGCCAAAATCTAATCAAACACTTTTCAAAACCGTATTGTTGAACAAAGTGAGTACTTTAGATTTTTTGAGTGATGGTGAGCCAAGTTAATCACCTTTTACCGCCTCTTTGTATACTTGTGAAATGGCTTTGTTGAAACTAATAATTGCTTTGAGTTAAGTTTTGGATAAAACGGCTAAGTGCCGTTATCTTGTTTTTTTCTTTACGTCGTTTATTAGAAAACATCAGACAAAGTTTCTTTCAATAAATGCAAATTAAAACATCTCCGAGCAAGAAAAATATCCCAAAACATAAATTTCCCCGACCATGAAAAATTCCCGGAGAGGTTGACATCAAAGCTTAGATATAATACAAAGATTTTGGAAAACCATTTCGTGTACACATTACTGGTGGCATATAACGACTCTTATCTATACAATAGCGTTTAAATTACTCAATCGATATTTGGGAAATTTGCAAGTAAGTGTCAATGATTAATGATTGAATGTATCTCAAGTGAGAAATTATTCACAATGTGCTCCTTACCTTTCTATAACAGATGAAATTTCGTGTTCAGTTTCTTTTTTAACCAGATCTCAAGGATCGACTTTTAAGAGATGCAACAATTATTAATAAATTATTTTATGAGGAAATAAAATGCACCGATGTTCTAACTTGCATGGTCTCATTTCCTCATTGGTATGATGTTTTTCCACCATTTATTGAAAACAACTCTGTTTTCTCTCTATTCACAACATAAGGTACTTTTTTTGTAAACCATGTAAAGAAGCTAACGGCTTTTAGTAAAAAATCAAAACCATTTTACAAGCCTACAAAGAAGTTGTACGAAGTGAATAATTAAAAACAAAAAAAATTAAAAAAAGAATTTAATAAGGTTAAAATTTACAAGGAGAAATTTTTGAAACATGTTCATTAAAGTGAAATAAGAAAAATCTCAAAAAATTATAAATGATAAAAAAAATTTTATATTGTTATGTATTAAAACACCTTAGAAAAAAGTAGTTTATTAAAATATAAAGCATTTAATAAGTTAAATGATTGTAAGGAATTTAATAATAAAAGTTGAATAAATTAAATACCCATATATAAGCGTTCTAGGATGTAATAGCATTGTTCACGTAAGAAAAAAAAGAAGAAATGGTACCTTTACGCGTTGAAAGTATATTGCAAACTCGATTTGCTGATCATTTCGTGCTAGCACATTCAAATGTACCAGTTGCCCAGTTGAAAACTATCGCTGATACTCAATTTTTATCCCCGTGATCAGAGGGAATGTTACGTATGTGGATAAATAAAATCAATCAATCACACTCAAACCTACAAACCTACCTACGTGGCCGCATATGCTTCGAAATAATCCGCTTTTTATTATCAATTCGAGTAAATCTGGCAAAACGTGCTCATTCTTGCCATCTTTATGTAGTAATGATTATTCTAATATACACACTTTAGAACCGTCCTATGGGCCGATAGCCATTCGGCTGCGTTGGTAATGCTGGTACAGTACTGTCAAATTTCGGATAAATTTCGCAGTTGAACAAATTATAAGCTTAGGCTGTTTATTTGTGTAATACAGTTAGTACAGTAAGAAAAAAAAGAAGAACCAGCGGGTGTGTTGAAGGCAGTCAGCTATTTGCTAGGACGAAAAATTTCATACAAGTTATTGTACAATTTAGAAAGGGAGATGAATAATTATATGCTCAGCTGACTCTGCAGTGTTGCACTCGTCACAGATGTCAGATGGAATTGTCTTGATCATTTTTAAGTATACGTTATGAGTGATTGCCCAAGACTTTGTTGATCGTCTTACTTTCCCATGATGTAAATTTGCCCTCTGGCAGGGAGGTCAGGAAAAGATGAATTTTATAAAAAAAACACCATCATTTTTTTCCCGAGCGTTTTCCTGATATTCATTCTTCCATTCTTCCGAATTTGGTAGAGAGCATCGTTGGGAAGATAATTGATGGAAGGGATTGTACCATCAAATTGAGGTTCGTGCGCGCGCATATCGTTGCTTATATAAAGATTCAACATTTTTGGCGATTTTTTAAGTTCAAAAAATTTTAAGTTGTTATATTTAAACTGTCATAAGCTTGCTGCCTTTCTGTTTTCTCTTTAACTTTTACTTTTATTTATTTATGAGACATCCTGTGTTTGAGTAGATGAAAGTTATTCACTTTTTATATATAAGAAAAATCAAGAAAGTTAGGTTACAAGGAATGGCCAACACAGAGACTGAGGTAAATTATAAATAAAATTTAGTATTTTACGGAATGTTTAATTAATTAATTTGCAGTTATCTAAAATTGTAAGAGATTTACCAAATCGGGCGATAAATGTTGCCATTGAGGACAGGCCAGCATTATTTAAAAAAACTATTGGACCGATGCTTATGGATCCCGCTGTCAATTCAGCAATTATAAGAGGAATATGTAAAACGATCGGAAGTACATTAACTAAATATAAAGATAGTGCTTCGCAGCAATTGGTTAGAGGATTAATAACAGATCTACTTAAAAGTCATCATGACTCTGCCATTGAAAATCTGATGGCGGTCTTTAAAGTGCTAGCATGTAAAGAGTTACCGAATGCGCCGGCACAAAAGGGGTCTAAAGCGGCCATTATTGCTTTGGGCTGGAGCATATTGTTGAATAAACATGGCGATTTGAATTCTAATGTTTTTAAAACTGAATTGCCTCGTTTAATTGAATACCAAGCCCTATTGTATCACATAGTTCTATTGGGTTCCAGTGCTCGTCTAATCGATATGGTCGATGGTGTGATGTTTGAAATTTTCGAAAGTCCTGTTTATTTTCCTCAATATTTAACTGTGCTAATCGATAAAGAGCCATCAGGCTATGTAATAGTCGCCCTAATGTTGTTGGTTAAGTTTAAGGAGCGTGTGCAAAACGAGTCCCTCCTCTGTGAATACAAGCCCAAGTTGATCGATCATTTCGTCAAAGGCATTATAACGGCTAAAATTAAACCAAGTAGTGATTACATTCCGGCGTGCAAGGTATTACTGAATTCAATAACTAAGGACGAATTTGAGGAGAAATTCTTACCACCCATACAAAGAGCTATGCTGCGAAATCCTGAAATTATTTTACAGGCTGTGGCTTTAATAATACACGAAATTAATTTAGATTTTAGTCCCTACGCTTTACAATTGGGTAAGATTTTACTGCAGAACTTATATTCAAAGGATGAAACAGCCCGTACTGAATCCGTTGATTGCCTTCGGAAACTCTCATTAAAATGTACCAAACCTGATGTTATAGCAGAACTTTTGAAGAATATTTTCAGTATCTTAAATGGCTCCGAAGGAAAAATAACTGTTGCTGAATATCGTATGAATTTAATGCAAGTAAGTTGAAAAACATTAACATTTTCAAATATTTATTTCATGTAAATGTATATTCCTGATCAGGGCGCTGGAAATCTTAGTTATAATGCGGTTCCTATTGCTCAAATGTCAAAGATTCTTTTCATAGCAACTGAACTATTTTCGAAAGCTTTACTAATTGAAATACACGAGAAGGTAATATGCCATACTTTGGAAATGTTTAGTCTCTGGTCTGTTAAGATGACGGGACAGTTGGACCAAAATATTACTGAAATATTCCAAAAGGGGATTCAGCTAAAAACGACAACACCAGCAGTGCGTTTGTCATATTTGCAATGGCTTTTAGCGGCTTTGCACAATGGCACCCTTAGCAAAGAGTCTAAACTAACTCCAATGCTGTCGACAATTTTCGATAAGGCCTTACAGAATCCCAGTCAAGTGGCGTTATTGTCAGAAGCCACTTGTGCGGCATGTATAATCTTGAAAACCGAGGGAACTGAAGCTGATGAAAAGTTAACAATTTTCTGGAATAATGTTTTAGATATGAGTAAATCAATTTTCTTTGCGGAACGCTTTGTGATCACCGCCCCACCCGAAACGTTATGCTACGTTATTTTAATTGCCGAATGCTTACTACGAAATCATTTTAATAACCTTAGAGGTGATGCGTATGTTCTATTTCGGGCTATTGTACGTGGTATTACTTCAGTATCAGGCAAAGTTAGAAATTATGTGAATAATTTATTGCCAAAAATAACGCGCTGCACGGACGGTATTTCATTTGTTAGAAAAATATTCATGGAACTTGAAAAATTCGCGAACAGCTATGACAAGGACGTAGAGAATACAGAGGAGAATGAGATATTCGCTAGCAATTTCATCGAATCGATTCATACGTTATGCGATTTTGAAAAATTAGCAAGTGCTGATGGTCAAAATTTGGCTTTACAATCTTTGGTTGTGTGTCATCATCCTTTGTTGGTAAGCGGTGAGGATAATTTATGGGAAAACGTGGTACGTTTCCAATTCGATTTAGATCCCAAAGTGTTCATATCCCTTAATGCTAAGCAAATCACTGAAATGATTATAACGAACTTTAAACCAATTAAAGCATATGAAAATGCGGTAGCCACTTTAATACGCTTAAGTCCGGATGTTATACTACCCTTATTAATTGGCAAGGTGACGACTGAATTGAAGAATCCCAATATGGTTAATGTAAGCGACGATGATTACTTCACTTATTTGACACCTGAAGGAGAATTGTACGATAAGAGCGTTATTCCTAATAATGAAGAATTGTATGTCACCACTGGGATAAAACGTGAAAATAAAGTTTACAGTTACAAAGAACAATTAGAAGAATTGCAATTGCGCCGCGAGATTGAGGAGAAACGTCGCAAAGAAGGACGTGCTAAACCACCGCAACTAACACCGAAACAACAGGAGGCAATAAGGAATCAAACGGAAAAGGAAAACCAGATTAAGAAACGACTGCAAGCTTTAAATGCGAAATTGATTTGCATCATTAAAATGATCAAGTCTGCTGGTGTTGGCAATGCAAAACAATTATCGTTGCATTTTCCCGCAATTCTCGGTGCTATCCTCAGTGCCATGAAGTCTCCGCTATCGGCTAGTCTTCTGTCCGAGTTATATTTCGAATTGCGTCTAGCTTGCTTTGATGACTGTGATTTGGCTTTTAAAGTCGCTACCACCACTATACGTTTGCAAATGCCTCGATGCGATTTAAAGAGTGAATGGATTGAATCGGACATTAGCGAAGCTACAGAGAACACGTTGCATATGCTTTATAATAATGTGATTGTTGAGAAAAATACGTTATTGGCACCAACGTTTACTTACATATTTGAGTTTCTCAAACGTGCATTGGTTGCAAAGAAGCTAGTGATCGATGAAGAACTTTTATTAATGGGTATAAAAATATTGGAAGAGCACGCTCAAATTAGAGGCGATTCTTTAATAGGTGATATTAATGATTATAGACATCCGAAATATATGCCGCGTATGGAAATGTTTCAATTGCTACTTAGCTTTATAAATAATAATCAAGGACGCATACAAACTCAGGCTGTTGTTACATTGCTTGAAGTGGCTCAATCCAGTTCAGGAGACGATTACTGTGCTATAGCAACGCGCGAAGAGTGCAGATTGTTTTTGAACACGTTGGAAGCTTCTTTGGAGGCATCCCGAGATGTGGCATTGCGAGCTCTAAAGATAATGTGCCGCCCTTTAGTCGAACAAAGTTTATTAGACGAGGAAATGTTGCGAATTATTACCCGACGTCTTTGGATTGCTCGGTTCGATGTTAGCAATGAAAATCAACATTTAGCAAATGAACTTTGGAAATCAGTTGATCTAGAGCAGCCGCAATTCGAAGATCTACTCTGCGATATTATCCATCCGGAATTAAACATTCAAAAAGCAACAGCAGCGTCTCTGGTACCACTTCTTTCGGAAGATCCATCATTAGCAAAGCGAACATTGAAAAAACTATTAACAATATATAACGAGAAGTTAACTATGATACCACCCAAACTAGATCAATTCGATCGTGAAATTGAATCGGCCATTGATCAATGGCGACCACGGCGAGGTGTGGCTATTGCCATTGCTCAAATAGCACAATTCTTTTCATTGGAAGATGTTAACCACGTTATGCAATTTATGGTATCGACGGGTTTGGGGGACCGTGAGGAAATCGTCCATAAAGAAATGCTAGCTGCAGCTTTAACAATCGTAGACTTACATGGAAAGGAAGCTATAATTACCTTACTACCAGTTTTCGAAGAGTTTCTCGACAAGGCACCAAAATCGCAAAGTTTCGACAATATTAGACAAGCGGTTGTAATTTTAATGGGTTCTTTAGCTCGTCACTTGGAAAAGAATGATAAGCGTATTGAACCGATTGTCAAACGTCTGCTAGCGGCCTTGTCCACACCCTCTCAGCAAGTTCAAGAAGCGGTAGCCAATTGTTTGCCACACTTGATGCCTTCAGTGAAAGATGAAGCTCCCGCAATGATTAAGCGACTTCTGCAACAATTAGTTAAGTCAGATAAATATGGGGAACGACGTGGTGCTGCGTACGGCATTGCCGGTATTGTAAAGGGTCTCGGCATACTTTCGCTTAAACAGTTCGACATTATGTCGAAATTAACGACCTACATACAAGAAAAGAAGAATTATAAATCTCGAGAAGGAGCCCTGTTCGCGTTTGAAGTGTTATGTACAACCTTAGGTCGTCTATTTGAACCTTATGTTGTTCATGTGCTTCCACACCTTTTGCAATGTTTCGGTGATTCATCACAATATGTTAGGCAAGCAGCTGACGAATGCTCGAAAGTAGTAATGGGCAAGCTATCGGCTCATGGTGTCAAATTAGTTTTACCATCTCTATTAGAAGCTCTTGACGAAGATTCATGGCGCACGAAAACTGCCTCCGTGGAACTGTTAGGTGCTATGGCTTTTTGTGCCCCAAAACAGTTATCGTCATGTCTGCCATCTATAGTTCCTAAACTCATTGAAGTGCTTGGTGATTCGCACACTAAAGTTCAAGAAGCGGGCGCAGATGCTCTTAAAGTTATAGGCTCGGTAATCAAAAATCCCGAAATTCAAGCCATCGTACCAGTTTTACTTAAAGCTCTGGAAGATCCTTCAAAGAATACTTCGATATGTCTGCAAAGTTTATTGCAAACAAAATTTGTGCACTTCATAGATGCTCCCTCATTGGCTCTAATAATGCCCGTAGTTCAAAGAGCTTTCATGGATCGTTCGACAGAGACACGTAAGATGGCAGCTCAGATTATAGGTAATATGTATTCCTTAACAGACCAAAAAGATTTGACACCGTACTTGCCCAATATTATACCCGGTCTGAAAATGTCCCTTTTGGATCCTGTACCTGAAGTTAGAGCAGTTTCAGCTCGTGCTTTAGGTGCGATGGTACGTGGAATGGGTGAATCATCTTTTGAAGACTTGCTTCCATGGCTAATGCAAACCCTTACCTCGGAATCTAGTAGTGTAGATCGCAGCGGTGCAGCTCAAGGTCTTTCTGAAGTAGTCGGCGGTTTGGGAGTAGAGAAATTACATAAGCTTATGCCGGAAATTATAGCTACAGCAGAGAGAAATGACATTGCTCCTCACGTCAAGGATGGTTACATAATGATGTTCATTTATATGCCAGGTGCATTTCCTCAGGATTTCACTCCCTACATTGGGCAAATTATTAATCCTATCCTTAAAGCCCTAGCCGATGAAAATGAATACGTGCGCGATACAGCCCTTAAGGCTGGTCAACGTATAGTAAATCTTTACGCAGAAACTGCTGTGACTTTGCTTTTACCTGAATTGGAACGTGGTTTATTTGATGATAACTGGAGGATACGGTTTAGTTCAGTGCAATTGTTGGGTGATTTATTGTATCGCATATCGGGAGTTTCAGGCAAAATGACCACCGAGACTGCAAGTGAAGATGATAATTTCGGCACAGAACAGTCGCACACAGCCATTATACGCTTTTTAGGACATGAGCGCCGTAATAGAGTTTTATCAGGACTCTACATGGGTCGCAGTGATGTTTCTTTAATGGTGCGCCAAGCTGCTTTGCACGTTTGGAAAGTTGTCGTAACTAATACTCCTCGTACATTAAGGGAAATTTTGCCCACGTTATTTGGTTTACTTTTGGGATGTTTGGCTAGCACTAGTTACGACAAACGACAAGTGGCTGCTCGTACCTTAGGAGATCTGGTGCGGAAGCTAGGAGAACGTGTTCTGCCAGAGATTATACCCATCTTGGAGCGAGGCTTGAATTCAGAACAAGCCGATCAGCGACAGGGGGTATGTATTGGGTTGTCCGAGATCATGGCCTCTACGTCTAAAGAGATGGTTCTTACATTTGTCAACAGTTTAGTTCCTACAGTTCGCAAAGCTCTCTCTGATCCTTTACCAGAGGTAAGAGAAGCTGCTGCGAAAACTTTTGAGTCCTTGCATTCAACAGTAGGCTCGAGGGCTCTGGACGATATACTACCATCAATGTTGGAAGGTCTCTCCGATCCAGATCCTGAGGTAGCGGAAAACACTTTGGATGGTTTACGACAAGTTATGTCTATTAAATCAAGAGTGGTTTTGCCATATTTAGTACCGCAATTGACAGCTCCTCCCGTAAATACTAAAGCCCTTTCCATACTAGTATCTGTAGCCGGGGAGGCACTGACCAAATATTTGCCTAAAATCCTTTGCGCTTTATTGCAAGCGCTTGCTGAAGCTCAAGGAACGCCCAATGAATCGCAGGAACTAGAATATTGCCAAACAGTGATATTGTCTGTAAGTGACGAAGTTGGAATACGTACCGTTATGGATACTTTGATGACTTACGCTAAATCTGATAATCTCATTACGCGCAAATCATCAGCTAGCTTATTATCCGCCTTCTGTATGCATACCCCTGGCGATTATTCTCAATATGTTCCTCAATTGCTGCGCTGTTTGCTACGGTTAATGGCTGAACAAGACAGAGATATACTGCAGAGATCATGGGACGCATTAAACGCTGTTGTCAAGGGTCTTGATTCTGCCCAACAGATCGCCCATGTATCGGACGTACGACAAGCAGTGCGTTTTGCAGCTAGTGATTCAAAAGAAGCGGAATTACCGGGATTCTGCTTACCAAAAGGTATTACGCCGTTATTGCCTGTATTCCGTGAAGCCATTCTAAACGGCTTGCCTGAAGAAAAAGAAAATGCTGCTCAGGGCTTGGGAGAAATAATTGCTTTGACGAGTGCACAATCCCTACAACCATCAGTTGTGCATATAACTGGCCCGCTTATACGGATATTAGGGGATCGTTTTAATGCTGGCGTAAAAGCGGCTGTGCTCGAAACACTGGCCATACTATTGCACAAAGTTGGAGTTATGTTAAAACAATTTTTGCCACAGCTCCAAACCACTTTCTTAAAGGCACTACACGATCAGAATCGCACCGTAAGAATGAAAGCAGGGCACGCGCTTTCAGAATTGGTAATTATTCACACACGCGCCGATCCCATTTTCAATGAAATACACAACAGCGTTAAAAGCAGCGACGATTCGGCCATACGTGAGACAATGTTACAAGCTTTGCGGAGTGTAATTAGTCCAGCAGGTGATAAAATGACGGAACCGCTAAAAAAGCAAATCTACGTCACTTTGATAGGAATGCTGGGTCATTCGGAAGATGTTACACGTAGTGCCGTGGGTGGATGCTTAGGAGCACTATTGAAATACCTTTCCACTGATCAGGTTGATGATATACTGCGTCATCATATCCTAATCGATGACAATGACGACTCTTCCCTCAAACACGGTCGGACTGTGGTAATTTTTGTGGCTCTCAAAGAAAGTGCAACAACTATATTAAATACTGCGCATCATGATAGCATTTTAAAAGTTTTGATTACCAACATATCATCGGATAAAGTTCAGATTGCTGGCAATGGAATAAGAGGGGCCACTTATCTCATTGAATATTGGATGATAAATAAACTACTTCCAGCACAACCGATTGTCACCGCTTTTACTAGAGCTATGAACCATAATAGCAATGACATAAAACAATTGGTAGCGAAGAGTTGCAATCATATGGCCAAGACGTTGGAGGCTAGTCAAATCTCACCTGAAATCATGAGGTATTTAATTCCGATGCTTGTGAATGGTACTAAGGAAAAGAACGGTTATGTTAAATCAAACTCAGAAATTGCATTAATCTCGATGTTACGCCTACGTGATGATGAAACTACGTACAGCAAGGTTTGCGACATTCTAGATGCTGGAGCACGCGATTCGCTCAACGAAGTAGTCAGTAAAGTCTTACGCAAAGCAGCCATCCAGCCGGCAGGCAAAGATGAAGAACTTGACGACACATTGCTTATTTAGTTTACATACATGACATATGCATTTCAAATTAGCATTCAAAAATTAATTACATACAAAATAAACATGAATAAAATTGCATCGCTCTTACATGTGTAAAAAAAAAAAAAACAAAAAAAATTCATAAAATAAATGTAAAATGTTTTTCTTTACTAGTTTAATGCTAAATAGTTTTTTATAGCGGATACGCAGACCAACCAGTTTTCGCATTCTTTGTTTATTCCAACCAATTTTATTTCAATGTACCGATATTTTGTTAGCTTACTAGAAATTTGGTTAAACTCATCTTATTTTAGTAGTATAATATATACAGATAATTTTTAATATATATTTATTTAAACTTAAATATGTTTTTATTGATACTGGCCCTGATTTGAATGCGGTTGACCGAACCCAAACGGTTTCGATGGGTCTCCTAGTGCACTGGGATCTTCGGAAGGCGGTAACGGATTTCGGAATTGTTCGGCTGATAGTCTGGTGAAGAGTATACCAACACCTTCAATTAAAGCTAACAACACGCCGCCAATTATTGCACTACCCGCCATGGCAGGAACACCTACGCATAAAGATAAAAATATTTAATAGTTGCATAAAAATTTCGAGTAAATTATGCAAACCATTTCTTGCTGCCAATATGCCGCCAGTTGCAAAACCGCTGATAATTGAATTCCACGGATCTTCCTTTTTTCGAAAGTGCACTAGTGTACAATCAATTGTGCTGAACATACCACCCCAGACGGCAAAATTACCAGCTATTACGGGTGATCGAGTTTTTATTGCCGATAAGCTACCAAGCTAAAATTTTCAAAGTAATTAGTAGTAGCACAACAACGAAAGGATTTATTCGTTTTAACTTTTCTAATAAGAAAAACCGCTTATAACGAAGAAGTTGGTAATAAAAAAAAAGAACTATATCTACTCTACTATTGCTTTATATTCATTAATATAATATACTCAATCTAAGTTTGATTGCGATTCTAGAAGCAAATACACTGATTATAATCTTTTAGGTCTAACCTGTTTCAAGTAGAAATCCAAGTGTCCTAATATATTAAATAGTGTTTTCAACAGTTTCTACCTTGGGTTAAATTCGAATACTTTTCCGCAGAATATCTATTAGCCTAGTGACTTTATGGCTCTCAAGAAACTATTGAAATGTTTGTTGTATCTTCTTCTTTCTTTATAAGCATATAAAAATATGGCCATAGAGAAAGGCAAATTTTAGGGAAAAAAATTATTGGAAACTTTTATAGACACCTACGACTTGATTCTCGGCTAAGCACTCCTCGGTCCTGATGCCAATGTTTCAAGCCGGGAACATTACGGCAAAAAGTGAGAGAACAACTTTTTCTTGGTAGACTTTTAAGTCGTGTATGCACTTACATAAATAAAATATTTTGGTTATCGAGTCAAGTTGCTTTCTTCCAAAACACAAGGATGCGCAAGGCAGCCTGGTGATGGCATGGAAAAATAGAGGGGCGCATGAAGAATGAAAAATTTCAACAATAAAATTGTCTTAATTAATAATAAAAAGAAACCGTCGAACACCGGCCACGGGGAAGTACTTTTGATAGTTTACTATAATTGGTTCTTTCTAGAGTTCAACAGTATTAGCAACGTTGATGAAAGATTCTAAGAGCTAGTTTTGCCAGTAGCTTGATTTAGATTTATCAAAAAAAACCTGTTGTAAATTCTTTCTAGAATGTTAACATGAGATGTAGAGGCAACAAATTTTAGAAAATATTCAATTATTTAAACATGCACGTTTGAAGGAAGAATCTCTCTGCCGATACCAGTGCAGTAAAAATTTCTAAAAAATGTCATTAATTGATTATTGAAGTTCTCCTTAATAAACACAAACTTACCAGTCTTCTATTCATTCCAGATGGAGCATTGCGAAATCCTTTTATCGCTTGAAATACACCCCCTCCAATGCATCCCATGGCAAAAGCTCCACCGCAATCGTCAACAATTCTATAGGGACATGGTTCACGGGCATATTCTTCCATAACTCTTTCGGTTTCTGCCAAATGAAAGAAAAAAATCTTTAGAATATTTCTATGGTGTGTGTGCGCCGCAACGTAATTACAGGATTTAAGCTTACATAATTGCGTTAAGCAATATGATAATAATGAGAATGGCATCTCCTTATTTATACACAAAATTGTTTTGTCCGAAAGAATATTTATAAAAATGAATAGCCTCCTTACCTGAATTGTCTATTTATGAAAAGCTAACAAAAATTCTAATTACTACTATTCTCTGTTATATTATTCGCACATGTATATTTATAACAGAGTTACCCGGCTTACAAACTAAATCTCATTCTCTATTTTTAATGTTTACATTTATTTTCTACACTTGTAGATTTTTGAATCATTCGCCACTTGTAATATTATATCCCCATATTCCTATAAACTATTTCTTTTTAATGATATTGGCAATCTTATGCAATATTTTACATTTTTGTATTTTTCTCATTTATTTTTGTAAAACAAAAAGTTAAGAAAGATATAAAACCAAAATTTAAGAAAAAACATAATAAATTGCTGCTGAAACTATGGAAAAATTAAAAGGAAGAATTGATCAGAAAGATTTACGGAAACTGATGGCAGAGAGAAAATCAAATCTAAATAAATCAAATGCAGAGAAAATAAATTCACCACTTGCCAAATATCCTTTACAAATTAATTGTTGATAACAATTCTTCCATTGCAAGGACTTCACTGTTCCGCATATCATAATTGAATTTAGATTTGAAATTTTGTTTGGGAATTAAGTGCATTGGTTATCAAAAAAGTTTTCATTAGAAAGATAAAATTTTGCGGTACATTCTTCTTTCTTCTTTGTTTGATGAAGGAGCCTAAATACGTTCTCCGCTAGCCATAAACGAATTTTGCACTTTGAGAACTACAATTGTATCCATCGACAAATATTAATATCTCCGGAGCAAGTAAAGAGCTGGAACATATCTGCAAAACGTGGCGATTGTGGTGCAACCTTCTTCATCGTTAGTAGCTTGATTGTTTTACTTTCAACTCTCCATGTTGCATTAATTGCTTGCTCCTTTAAATATGAAGAATTATCTTGCAGGTCTTTATATTGTTGTAACAGCATTTCACAATTCAATATCGTCAATATCTGTCAGCTTCCAATAGTATAATGGCTGTTTTTAGAGTTCTTTTCTTCGGTTGTCTTCAGAATGTATTCAGCAATATTGGGCGATTTTTCGATTTAATCATAAAATAACCACCTTATCCATTTTTTATGTAGTAACTTTGATAATAGTGTAATGGAAGTGTGTAATGAGAGAATTACTAGTTCAAGCAAAGGCTTAAAAGCCACAGATTTCCGATGTGATAGAATGTAAACTGCTTGCAATGAATGCAATTGTTGAATATTGATTTATCTTTTGTAGTTTTCTCGCATACAAACAATGGTTTTCGTAACTCTATTTATACATATGACTCAAAAGGTAATTTATCCTGCATCATTTGCAGGAGCAATATCAAGTCTTCAACTTTATGGAAAGTTCATATAAATTCCAAACTGCACAAACAAAACGTAGAAGAGGCAAAAATGTTGAAAACTCAAATTGTTAATACGGCCAAGGATATGACACAACAAAAGCTAATAAGACTAGAATCTTCAATATCAACACTACATACGAAACCACGCGGCTTAGAAAAGCCAAAAAAAGAGGTCATCCTGAAAACTAAAACAGAAAAGATATCAGAAAAAGCGACGATGTCGATTGAAGCTGCCAGCGAGAATGCGTTACCAGAATTATTTTTTGATGAGCCGGCAAATAAAAAAGATTTAAAAGATCCTCATGATGAAGAATGGGAACGTTTCCAACGTGAAATTAAAGAAGAAACAATTACATCGAACGTGATCATCGCAGGGGAACAAAATGAAGCTACTGTCGATAGACAGATAGAGGAAATTGATGAACAAATTCAACATTGGGCAAAAGTTTTAGATTTAGAAGAAAAAGTTGAAAAAATGAATAAGATTAATAAGGCTAAACAGGATTTGTCAAGTGTTAATAGTAGCTCAGGAGAAACAAGTTCCGAAGCAGAGGATGATGACACTTTGGATGAGTTGCTGAATTGGCGATGTAAAAGCTTTAAGTGAATCCAGTGTAACTTTTGTTTTGCGCTTAATAAATTGTTGAATTCATCGTTTTTAGTAAATCTTTGTGTATATTGCTTGCGATGAACAGTAGAGATATATTCCATAGTAGTAGTAAATCTAGAAAGAACCATTGCAATTTCTTTGGTCTATAAATGACGTCATTTTCCGATGTTATTTGAAATTATATTTATACATAAGACAAGTAATAATAAAACGATAGCGGAATTTATAATATATATAATGATTATAAAATATAATATAATATATTCGCGCTTTAAATTTACCTAAATTCGAGGCGTAGCATATTCGCTACGATTTCTATTTTTATTCGAGGAACATGGACCTTATCTCAATTTAGTCTTTATTTCTTCCATTTAACATCTAAACTAAAGGCTGACGGACAAAGTAAACAGCTACTTAATAAGTATAGAAAATGCACTTTAAGTTCAAAATTTATTTATTTTTACGAAATGGTATGCTTTATTATTATTATAATTTTAGACTAATGAAATAAATTCTTAGACTAAAACGAAAGACATTGAGCACTAGCAACACAGGCTATCGGCTCTAATTTAAATAAATGTACATTATATAATGAGCTTAGTAGTATTAATAAAGTAATATATAGAGTTGATATTCGATTCTGAAGCTGTTTTTAGAATGTCCAAAGGATTAATCGTTCCAAATGCAATACTTCTAGCCAAGGAAAAGTTAAGGCACTCGCAGAGAATGTGGTAAGTTGGTAGTTGCAATTGTATGACCAATGCGAATTTTCGAAAATGTTTGGATCTTGGTTTTCTCAACATTTATTGGATATAAAGGTGGAGTTAATTGAGGGTTAATGGAAGAGTAGTGTCAATGATGGTATTGTAAATTTCCTTCTGCAATTTTCTCTTTAACTTTTCTTCCAATGTATCTTTGAAGATCCAACTTTTCCATGACATCATCCACAATTAGAGGAGCAGAAGCAGCATACTTTGCCGCTCGATCAGCCTGCTCATTTCCCAATAAACTGATGTGACTCGCTACCCATAACATTTTAATTTTTCCATCGGTTGTTGTAATTATATTCCTTAATTTGTTGATGGTGCTCCATCTCGAAGTCGAAGGATTCCGAACAGCTGGTTATACATGTTCACGTCATCACCGAGAATAGATTTGTTTGAATTAGAAGCTTGGGGGCTATTTAGCTTTTAACTCATAAAGTTTATTTTCTAAAGTTGGGAGACCAATTACAATCATAATATTATTTATGGGCGTGGTCCGAAAAGCATAACAACTTGCTCTGACGGCTTGGTGATAGACCGGTTTAAGGATGTTGATATTAGATTTGCAGCTATTGCGATAAATTATCAAAGCATAATCAATCTTACTTAACACAATCATTTTGGTAAGATAAGCAATAGTGTTAATAAGCGCATGGCTTTTCCAAGCAACATACTGTATGTTTTAATTCTACTTATACATGAAACTCAACTAAACAAATAACAGTCGAGTTCAATTGGCACCTAAAGCAATACTTATATTAAATTAATAATGAAACTTAGTATAAGTACAATAAAACAAATAAGAAGGAAAAAAAAGAAAAAAAGCATGTACACAACCAGCATAGAGCCACACTTACAACCGGTACAGGACAAATAGCAAATGAACCCCTAAGCCATCGCAAACATGCATAAGCCTGGCAACCGATAATACTTAACAACAATTCATTTTCGAATCGTAACAACTTTGAAGGATAAAAGCTAGTTTAAGTAAGACATAGGTAAATCGCGCGTATTAAGTAATGTTGCTTTAATGGATTTTAAAGAGTCCGATAACGAGAATAAGTGATAGACGTCATTTAGGTTCTTGCAAACTACTCTGAGCGGATTAAACAGCTCATAATTATATTTACACTGACTAAGCTTAACCAAGATAAAGTGCCTAGACAAGCGATTAGGGACATTAAAGCTTATTTCACCAAGTAATAAAGGTGAGTCAGTAGCACCATTTATTATTTTGATTACAAAGGAAATGCCAAGAACAAACCTACGTTTCTCAAGAGACGGTAAGCAGAAGCAACCTATTTTCAACAATCATTAGTCTAAAATTAAAATAATAATAATAATAATAAACTTTAACAAGTTGGTGATTGTAGATCGCCCTTTCCGAAAGCCGTGCTGGTGCGAATTAATGGCAAAGGCCAGACGCTGAGCCACAATTTGCTCGAACAGCTTGGGCAAGACACTCAACCTGGCTATGCCTCTGTAGTTCTCAACAAGTTGTCTACTTCCAGTTTTGTGGATAGGAATAAGGAAACTATTCTTCCAGCAGGAAGGGAAAACACCTAAATTCAAGGACAGGTTAAAAATTTTTGACATCACACCACATAACTCGACAGCGCAAGATTTAAGTACACATAATGGAACACCATCAGGTCCTGGCGCACAACAATATTTTAGGGAACTCAACCCTTTAAAAACGTCATCTTCCGAAATTACCAAGTTAGGAATTGAGACAGAGTTAGTTACAGGATATGGGTAGTTTGCTGATAAATCGAAATTAGCAATCGAAAAGTTTCGTCGGAAATACTCAGCAAGCAGATTTGAGATTTCAAAATCATCTGAGGAATCAGAGCCATTAAAAGAAACATGAGAGGGATATGTGGAAATTTTTCTTTTAGAGTTAACAAATTTAAAAAAGTATTTAGGATTAGCAAACAGAGAGGATTTAATGAACTGAAGGTATCTGCAGTAATAATGGTGATTGAGGGAGTTAAATCTATGCCTCCCCACCGAATAAGCGAAATAGTCGAGCGCAGAGCCACTTTTCAAATATTTTTTGAATAGCGTTTTTTTCTATTCTTGTAATATTTAATTGTCTTATTAAACCAGCGGGGACACCTGCTTCAAGGTCGGCACTGCTTGATCAGGAAAGTTGGCAAAGCAGAGATCAAGCCGTCTACCATTACAATTAGGGGTACGATTATATTGAACCAAATTATGATCAAACAATTCATTAAAGAACACAACAGCCCTATCAGACGTTGAAGTAGGAATCAAACAGTCAAAATTATCACTGTTACACCAAGTGATTTGAGGCAAGTTGAAGTCACCCAATGCAACGACCAAATCGTTAAGTCTAGACCACTTGGCCGCTTCACAAATGAGGGCAGCGTGTTTTTTGTAAATGGAGATATCAGAATTTGGGGGAATATAGGAGCAGGTTACAAATAGCTGTTTATTAGGCATTATCGCACGAATGGCGATAAATTCAACGTCATGAGAAGTGGGAAATTCTATTGAATTGGACGGGACTGACGGAGATATGGCAATTAATACACCACCATCAATGCGATTCACTCGATCCTTTCTGAAGACTTGGAAAGAATTGTGAAAAAGTTCCGATGAATGAAGATAGGGTTTTAGCCAAGTTTCGGTGAAGGCCAAACAGAAAAACTTCGTGCTCACTGAATTTAGGTAAGTAGAACGAATTTTTGAATTAAGGTCCCTAACAATTTGATAAATGAGAGATAATGGGCCTGAAGAAACATTTAGTTTTTTGAAGGCGACAAGACTATTGCTTTGGTATTACGGGGACAATCTCGAGGCATAAATTCCTTAATCAAGGACCCTACTGGCCACAGTGGTTTGTTTAACAACATATCACTGTTTTTAGTCGCAACCAGTATTTTAAAAGAGTAGATTGCCCTAGATTGAGAATGAGCCATTTTGAAAATGCTAACGCACTTTAAGTTGACTGGTGGGACTTTCGCCGCCCGATAACTTTTTATGTTATCCACCGATATTTCAGATGAAAGTCTTGACACAAATATTGATTTTCTGGGAGGAGCTGCCGTCAAGCAAATGTCATTAGTTGGAACAGAAGGGTTCACGGTTGGGGAGTTTAGAGTTGGGCAGAATATAGATGGACTAATCGCCCTTGCACCAGCAGCTTGTGCGACTTGCCAGTCTGGTGACCAGCGTTCCAGCCAGGGGGAGAGGATGATTTATTTTTCTCTTTATTATTTTTAGGTAATGGCGCTTGATTAGAGTGAGTGGCGGCCCTGGGCGGAGATAGCCTTGCCACTTCAGCGTAGCTTAAAACGGAAAGTCCTGCCGGCTTGTTTGTAACTATTTTGTTATCAACCGACTCAACAATATCGGAAACATTAACGTTCATTTTAGAGTTAGATGGAGCGGTAACTTGTACCAACGAATCAGATTTAGAGGAACTCAGAGGTGACGTCCCACACGCTACGCTACGAGTTGTTATTTTTCTGGCTTTGGTAGAAGATGAGTGCTCAATAAAACGACACTCATCAAACCTAGACTTAATTAACTCAAACTTCTCCCACAAGGAGCCGAGATTTCTACTCAATTCCGAAAAACCATTTCGCGTCTCCGTTAAAAGTTTGTCCAAATCAATGTCCCGCTGCCTACAGTCAGGACATGACCATCTTAAGTCTTTGGAAGGGTCAGCGAGAATACCGGCACACTTTGCATGACCAAAGCGATCGCAGAGCCAACAAGAAACGAATCTATCCGATTCCGGGCCCCTTTCTGCGCGACATGGTGTATATAAGCATTCCATGTCAAATCAAGGAAAAGAAAGAAGTGAACTATTAGGACAAAAAAAGAAAAAAATTCAAAAGAATCCACTACACTAAGTTTATCTACAAATTTAAGAAATTTAATAAAACTTCTTCGTTACGTTGTCAGTGTAACAAAAGAGCAAAAGAACAAGAGAAAGCAAAATCAAACTGGAAGCACGAAAAAAAAGAGAAAATACAAATCAGAAAAATTTTCTCTTAAATTTTCTCTTAAATTACACGCAAGATCTACACTACTGAAGCAACGGTAAACAAGCCAAGAGAAAAGCTTTTCACACCAAAGGAAGAAAATAAAAAAAGAAAAAAAAACTCGAAAGAAAAAACGAGAAAAAACTCGAAAGAAATTTACTATTGCGATCACAAGTGCTAATCGCAAGAACCAAAATGAAAATCACAAAAATTTTAATATATTTAATGTAATTCTTACATATCGCTTATCTGCTTTCGACAAATGTGCATTTTTTT